CTAGACCTGCCCACCATTAACGCTCAACTCACATTTGTCAAATGAAGAAAAACAATAAAACTGCAAGCAACAAAGATATTCGCAAGAGAGAGATACTGTTCACTTGGACGGAACTCTATTTCTAGGAAACAATTAGGCCTCCTAAACTCTGAGTGAGTTGTGGAGTTCAGAGCCCTCACCTGGGAATTCAGGGTTGCTCCTGTGCCATGGTTCTAAGCCTTGCCTGAACATTCAAATCACCGGAGAAGGTTTTAAATATCCCAGTGTCCATACTGGACCAATCAACTTAGGCACTCTGGGGATGGGACCCAGACATCAGTATTCCATAAAGCTCCTGAAATGACTCCAATATAGAGTCAACTGCTCCCATAGAGCTTTGCAGCCCCTGTTCTAGGTTCCCATACACGGTCATTAACACAGTATCGGCAAGAGCAGGGTCAGAGACAGGGCAGAATGGTTGAACATATTTGACCATCTTGTCACAATGATTCCTCCATGTCTTATGAAATCTTTGTACAGAGTGACCACTTGTTCAAAATTAATTCCAACATCTTGGCAAAAGATGAAAAAATTAAAGAAATCCATTACATTGTTTCACAAATGTTAGGAAACTGAATCATAGAGAAAAATGTGGTGCTATATGGGACCCCCTTTTAAAATCATAGTTTAAAAAATCAATAATTTGCATGTTTGGAAATTATTTTATGACCTCCTGATTTGCTGCTAAGGTTATATGTGTTCAGAAAGACCAGGTGTCGGAAAGACCAAATACTAAAAAGAAAAATTTACATATAATTTAAGTAAGAAAAAGAATATTTTAGTACAGAGTTTTAATGTTGTTCTCACTCTATCATTTTTAACTCAAAATTGACATAAAGGCAAGAAGAGCATTGTTAATCAAAGAGTGGTCCAGGAAAGTGTCCTTCCCAGGACATGGCTGTTTTTTACTAATCCGCAATAGATAAGAATTTGAGACTAAAGGTGTAGAAGCTTTTATAGTAATTGAATAATCCATATTGAATCACATAACAAAATATTGAGCTCCTATTTTATGCATTTTAGTGTTTTTATTTCCCTTTCCTAGTAATTAATTTTATTTTTTTTAATTATAAACACTCAGCAAATTCAAAATTTTTAAAAATTGGTCTTTCACCATGAATAGTCTAGTTTGGGAGGCTAGAGGACCAGTATTCCATTTGAACGTCAATGCAAAGGTGAACACAGAATGAAAGAAGTAAATGCAGACAAATTCCTTTTTAGCTTATCTGTTTTGAATTTATATTTTAGAGGCCTATTTCATTTTACCTTAGATTGTTGATATGGAAAGTTATTTTCTACTATAGGCTTATATGCATTGCTTAGAAGCTCTTTAAAAGAAAACAGACTTGGGGTGCCTGGGTTGCTCAGTTGGTTAAGCATCCAGCTCTTGGTTTCAGCTCAGGTCATGATCTCGAGGTTGTGGGATCGAGTCCTGCATCGGGCTCTGCACTCAGCGTGGAGTTTGCTTCATATTCTGTCCCTCTCCCTCCCATTCACTCTTTCTGTCTCTCTAAAATAAACAAGAAAACAGACTTATTAGAAAACAGGTGGTAAAAGAATGGTTTAGCAGTATTTGCTCATTTTCTTTTTTTTTCCCCAAGTTTGACTTTAATATAGCCAGGTTTGAAAATCACTAATATATAGGTTGAGCATCATGAGTATTCTGCTATTTATCATCTATTTTTTTTTTTTTTGCAATTTCCCTATTACGGTTTTATTTTATTTTTTTTTTATTATGTTATGTTAGTCACCATACAGTACTTCATTAGTTTTTGACATAGTGTTCCATGATTCATCATTTGGGTATAACACCCAGTGCTCATTGCAATACGTGCCCTCCTTAATACCCATCACCAGGCTAACCCATCCCTCCCCTCCACCCAGTATTTGCTCATTTTCTAAGAGGAACTCAACATCAGGTAACACAGAGAAGTTATTAATTCCTTTTGGGAAAGGGAGATATTTCTCTTTTTAAGAAATAAGTTAAGTCACTCTCTTTTGATTGGAAACAGCTAGCAAGAGTTCAATAGCATAAACTATTAATGTAGAGACACCCTAGTTTAAATAAAAGGAAGCCTGCCACACAGAGATTAGTTCTCCCAAGATCATGCAGCTAGTGAATGGGGAGGTCAGGAATCAAACCCAAGACCCTATACCCTGACAGTGCCTTGCTCTTTCCCCCGTTCTGCCATAGAAAGTGTTCCAGTGGGGACCCTGAGAGGCTTATATAAGCTTCACTTCCAGGAACCTGAAATAGGATAATAAGTATTAAAATCATGTGGTATGTTTATGAATCTCCTTAATATGTAAATTTCCTCGTTCTATTTAGAGCTTTCTGCATGTAGACAAGAGTGCTGTTTGTCCCAAACTGATTTGCACATCACACAGAAAAGTGTAAGAGGAGAGGAAACTTAGTGCTATCCATACCAGTTGTCTTGATGTTGAAACTGGTTTGATCTGGGTTGCTATTAAACATGCTCCAAAAGCAAACCAACTTGATTCTTTTAGGAGATAAGTGGGATATCGATGAGAAATAAGTGAGTACCTGAGAAATATCAAGTCTTTGCAGGGATTATATAGTCCCAGTGAGGAATCCAAAAACTTGATTGATTCATTTAATACATGTCTATTCAGTGAACTAAACAACTTCGCTACGTCAGAGAAATATCTGCACAAAAATTTAAATTGCTAATCAATTATTTGTCACTCTTACCTAGACAATGCCAGAAAACAATCCAGATTTTTTTTTTAAAGATTTTATTTATTTATTTGACAGAGAGAGAGAGAGACAGTGAGAGAGGGAACACAAGCAGGGGGAGTGGGAGAGGGAGAAGCAGACTCCCCGCTGAGCAGCGAGCCCGATGCGGGGCTCGATCCCAGGACCCCGGGACCATGACCCGAGCCAAAGGCAGACGCTTAACGACTGAGCCACCCAGGTGCCCCTCCAGATTTTTAATATATGGAAATACAAAATTTTTGGTGTATATTTTTGACATCATTTAGTTTTAGCTTAAGAATATAGCATGTTACTCAGCTGTATCATTGTTCAGTAGTGGATATTAAAATTTATAATTGTTTTTTTACCATACTCTGAAACATTTAACTGAATATTTTATCTTCCTGTACATGCTAGTGACTTTTTAATCACTTTTTAAAGAGTAAATGATCAATCCCTCCATTCTTACCATCAGTGATTAAAGGTTAATATTTGATAAAGGAACCAAGCAATCTACACTGACATCAGCTGGTTAGATGCTATGGGTGTGGCCACTTAAATAACAGGAATAATCTGGATTTTTTAAACAGCTAATGGGTGAAGTAGGTGAAGGTGGTCAAAAGATACAAACTTAAAATTATATGATAAATAAGTCCTGGGGATGTAACGTACAGGAGGGCGAATATAGTTAACAAATCTGTATTGCTTATTCGAAAATTGCTAAGAGAGTAAATCTTAAGAGTTCTCATCACAAGAAAAAAACGTAAATGTGATGAATGTTAGCTAAACTTACTGCGGTAATCATTTTGCAATATATACATATATCACATCATTATGTTGTACACCTAAAATTACTACAATGTCATATGCCTATTAAGTCAATTTTTAAAAATAATAAATAAAAAGAAGCTCATTGTCTTATCTTGAGGTAAATTTTAAGGATGTACACCTGAGCTGAGATTATAATGAATTTTGAACAGAATCTGAACCTACAAGTTTGAGCAATGAGTCATGTTTTTTTTTTTTCTATTTGATTTTTTTATTACGTGAAATATAACCAAACATACAGAAAAGTGAACTGAACATAAATGCGTGGCTAAGTGAATCATCACAAAATAAACAGTTGTGTAAACACTACACATGTAGTCAAGCCAATACCCCAGAACCTGCCATCAGGCCCCCGACCAATCATTTCCTAGCTCCTTATCCCCAAAGGTAACTGCTCCTTTCACCTCACTCCCGAGAGTTTAATCTTTCGTATATTTACAATTTATATAAATGAATCATACAGCACGTAGTTTGTTTTTCCTCGTTCATGCAGTTTCGTGTTTGTGAGATTCATACGTATTCTTGTATATAACTGTAGTTCATTTTTAAGTCAACTTTCAGCTGACTATCACCTAAAGTCTTAGCTGGTCTTGATGGCCGTCTGTTCCGCTGCCAGTCTTTTGTCCTCTGAGATACAGATGGCATATATCAGTGATGCTGCAGGGTTATGTGGGAGACAGTCAAGAAATAGAAAAGTAAAAACAGAATAAAATCTAATTACATGGAGTTTCCCTTAAAACAAAAATTGATTGAGTTCTGCCCAAAGTGGCTTGTTGTTTCCTGTGCCAGGAACTACTGTGCAGGCCCAGCAGGAAGTGTGCTATGGAGCGGGATCACATTACACCCTTGTTTTATGGTTCATTTCACTTATTTAATGCAATCCGAGAACCTGCAAAGGGAACATGTTAGAAGGAGGGAATGGGCTTTTTGTCTTGTTTGTTTTGTTTTTTTTAAGTTTCTTTGAATCAAAACATTTGTTTTTACAAAGTGCTTATAGCCCCACAGAAGCAGGACTTGTAGAGTTGCATGGGGAAGACATTTCTCTTTGTCACAAAATTCAAAGCAGGACATGAAGTTGGGTTATGTCTAGGGTTGAGTTATGTCTGTTTCCTTTGCTGTCCTACTCACATAATTTTAAACATGAAGGATTATCAGCATGCCCATGAATGGTCTAAATCATTTTGAATTCATATAAGCTCCTCCTAGGGTCTCTAATTTGATAGAGAGCCCAAGATGGGTGGGGTGGGGGGTGGGGTGCTGGTAAGGAATATGTTTAAGATGCAAAATAGCAATTCATTTGTCAAGCAAAAGAATGAGTTCATTGGGCTGTATTGCTTGAAAATGTGCGAAGGGAACAGCTGGATTCCCTTGTGGTGGCATACACCGCTCCTCACGTGCTGTCTGTTTTCCTCTCCAGAGACCTCAGTATGAACAACATCAGTCAGCTGCCCCCGAATCCCCTGTACAGTCTCCGCTTCCTGGAGGAGTTGTAAGTATCCCTGTAGTAGCGATGCGTCCAGTCAACACGGAGCACATTCCTGGGTTTGCCCCTCATACTCACTGTGGGAACCAGATAAAACAAGGCAAAAAAGCTGTCAGCACCAACAATTTTGGCACATGAGGAAACACTTAGTTGGGAGGGGAGAAAAAAGGAATTGCCTAAGATTCTGGAAATCAACTTATGAAAGAGTTGACCATGAGGCTACAACTTTCTAAGGTGAGCCTTGAGCCAAACAAATTAAAATTTTAAAACAAAGGCTGTTTAAGAGCGCTGGATGTCTCTTTGGAAATAGTTAAGCAGCAGGATATTGAAAGTTTGAATACCGGTTCATGTTTATTAAAATAGCAAGTAAGGCCATAATCAAAACCAAAAACTGCCGCTTGGTTCAGGTTGTGACAGGGAGAGTGGAGTCCACATTCCGTAGCGCCAAAACTTCTTGTCCTAATCACTTTTAATTACTATTTTCCTACTTCTTAATTTAGCTTCCCTCATGGCTTGAACAGAAAAACATGAAATCCACAGAGGACTTAAAACTGGGCTCTCCCAAACTCACCGTAAAAAAAATAAAAAAATAAAAAAGGATGAAGCTAAAATTAGCTAATGATACACAGAGGAATCTTGATTAAGTCTCGTAATCACTTTCCAGAAGATGAAAAAGAACTGTATAATCCAAAAATCTGCATTTAAAAATTCATTTGATCCTCTTACCCTTTGGAGTGATGGAGACTAGGGGAGCCGTGTGCCCTCACAGTCCTCATGAAGAAAGTTTGGCACCATCCCTTGAGTACATCCTCTGACTGTTGATTAAAGGAATTGTGTAGGCAATGACCTCTTTTGAAAATACTTCCTTTATAAATCCTGAAGTCAGGGTCCTATCTGAGGAGTAATTTAAATGGTTGATGCACTGCATGATCCACCATGGGAAGTGGGAAGAATGTTCCATCATAACCAAATTATACCGCATTGATCTTTTCCCTTTTCAAGAGGATAATATTCTCAAATTTCTCCCTTTAGGGTTTTATCAATATTTTTGATGGCCTTATATTTTTAGCAAATGTTATTGTCTTACTACTGAAATCAGTTGAATATATGCCCAGGTTGTTATCCAGGAATACGGTGGGGAAGCTCAGAATACAAGGCTGTACAGCAAGTTTTTATCATTCATGGGTTTTCACTCTAGGTTGTCCATGCTCCTCCTTTCCCCTCTTCTCTTTTCTCTCTCGCCACTTCCACAGCTAAAAAGTAACTTTGGTCAGGGCTGAGTCCTTGTCTATCTTAGTCATGGCTTGTATATAATAAATAATCAATACATTTTTGATGAATGAATGCATCCTGAGAAAGCAAAACATGTAAAAGGAGCTTCTCATCCAAGTTGGCTTCCTTAGAAAAAAGCAAAAGACGTGGTAGACATTAGCCAATATTTCTAAAGATTACCTTTAGCAAATTTCAATTAGGGTTTTTTCCTGATTTCCATCCTTCTCATCCTCCCTTCCTCACCATAATTAAAACACGACGCTTAGTCCTATGTATACCCCTACCCTGTATTTTGAAGGTGTGTATTTGCTATGATTTCCCCTGTCATTTCCTTACACTAACCAATGGCACAAGGCTTCCATTCTGTGTCAACATGCACCTCCACTTTGTTTTTTTTTAATTTTTATTGTTATGTTAATCACCATACATTACATCATTAGTTTTTGATGTAGTGTTCCATGATTCATTGTTTGTGTATAACA